TTGTTCAAAACAGAATGGAGAAAGCACGAACCACGTCTTCTCTCCAAAGGATCACCCGAGCAACGGGCACAGGTAACAAGCTCGAGCCTCAACCTGAAATGGTGGTGGGACGCCCCCGAAGGGGTCAGTACTCTATACGGCTATAAAGTACTGGTGTGGATGGCATCTAAGGGATATACAACAAGTATTTCAAACACGAGACCCTCACATAGGGTGATAATACAATATAGTGGTAACCCTAAGTTACCCCGTTTGAAAATATACCTACTTTATATAAAAGTCAAGTAGTCGGCCCGTGGGCCCATGTTCATTTAGAAATCACCATTCCCATTCCCCGTGACTATAAGCCACGACAATTCATAGAGTTCGTTACATTACCATTGCATAGCAAGGGCTCGGCCCAACTACATTTTTATGCAATCCTTTATGTCAAGTTCATCCTATCACATTTGCATCTTATCACATTTGCATCCTATCATATTTGCATAGCAAGGTCTCGGACCAACTACATTTCTATGCAAATCACAATTTACATGGCAAGGTCTCGGACCAACTACATTTCCATGCAAATCACAATTACATCCTATCACATTTGCATAGCAAGGTCTCGGACCAACTACATTTCTATGCAAATCACAATTTACATCCTATCACATTTGCATAGCAAGGTCTCGGACCAACTACATTTCTATGCAAATCACAATTTACATGGCAAGGTCTCGGACCAACTACATTTCCATGCAAATCACAATTACATCCTATCACATTTGCATAGCAAGGTCTCGGACCAACTACATTTCTATGCAAATCACAATTTACATCCTATCACATTTGCATAGCAAGGTCTCGGACCAACTACATTTCTATGCAAAGCACAATTTACATGGCAAGGTCTCGGACCAACTACATTTCCATGCAAATCACAATTACATCCTATCACATTTGCATAGCAAGGTCTCGGACCAACTACATTTCTATGCAAATCACAATTTACATCCTATCACATTTGCATAGCAAGGTCTCGGACCAACTACATTTCTATGCAAATCACAATTTACATGGCAAGGTCTCGGACCAACTACATTTCCATGCAAATCATAGAGTCCGGCTCTAATTCCTCATTATAGTCCAATTCCTAAGCAAACCTATGCCTAGAATTGGCATCTCAAATATCTACCTTGGTCATTCTTAATGATTGCCCATAACTTACCCTTAGCTTCATACTAAGTCATTTTATACACTTGAAGTACATTCAAGTGCATTTCATACAATCCAATACTTAGGATCAATTCTATCAACAACTTCAAATAATCACTAACTAGTATTTCAATACTATTAAGATTATTGTCATCATACAAATATCCTCATTTTGTAATTCTCCACATATTTATAAGTGTGTAGCAGCAACTTAAGTACTCAATTTCAATACATAAATATTCATTTATGTATCCACATAATTCATACATGAGTAAAATGCCTATTTCACAAAATAGTTCATTTATAACTCATTTAATCTCATGTTATTCATACAATCTCAAACCATTTCCAATTTCATTCTTGTCAACTATATCAATAGTTCATAAATATTTAAGCATCATAATTCATGAAAAATTAAGATTTAAGCATTTAGGTAATCTCATGCTTAACCTACAAGTTGTAAGCAATTAGATGTCGGTCCTCACCTTAATTGAGCTTTAAACTTTTCCTTCTTGATCCAATGGTCAAAGCTCCGGTCAAGGTAGATTATGAACTGATTCCTTGCTTAAATATGAGTGTTAAACAGCCCCCTCAAAGTGCTAGCTCAACCCCTAAATGTCGATACGAAAACAGCCCCTAGAACGGGTGTTTTTCCGGCGGATTCGTTCCCTAACCTTTCAAGGTTTTGTCTAGGTTAGTATCTAACCTTTCCAACAATTAAAGTCACTATATAATAACATTTTATACACTTCAACCAGTTTATAATAGCTCTTAAATCATTCATACGATTTAGACAATAGAGAGGAAGGTTTTGGATTCAAACTTACTTTGAATACAAAAACGTATTCTGCGAGGTTGTGTTTTGCTCGGACGATTTGGAAGCCTTCCACTACTCCGATTGATGCAAACCAGACCTTCACGGATTCCTCGTCTTGCGAGCTTTCTGTTGGTATCTCGCACGCCTTATTTGGATGTGTATAACTCGAGATATGGAGCAAACAAGTACCCTTACGCACTGGGAAGACTACCTGCGGACAGCCCTCTTCCTTCCTTCTCTCTTGAGTTGTGTGGATCCTTTTGCTCCCTTATCTATTTGGGGTTCGAATGGGGTGTAGGGGGAGTGTATAGGAGACTAGGGCTGGGACCGGTTCGGTTCTTACTCAAAATGAGTGGAACCGTTATAAAAATTTTAACTAATGAAATCGGTTCGGTTCCTGAATAAAAAATCAAGAACCGTTATGGAACCGAACCGGTAGTAAACGGTTCAGTTCTTCCTTTTACCGGTTCCTAGAATAATTTTTCTTGTCTAAGAATTAACACATAATTTTAAACACGTCGAAAATTAAAAACACGAGTATTAAAATTTTATTTGAAGCTCTAATTACTTCAAACATCAAAGCTCAAACTTAACTAATGAACTTTGAACAATTAATAGAACAAAAGTGATTTGAATTTTCATGTAATAAATCAAACATTGAACATCGTTGTAGTATCGGAGCAATGAAGGTTACTCGTCATCATAGTACCAAGAATAGGACGCCTACTTCAAGTCTTTCAAAACATAAAAAAAACATTGAGTTTGCATGTATAGATATAAAAAACATTATTACATTCTATTGATTCATAATAAATCTAATAATTAGAAATATCATGAAAATAGTAAAGTAAAATATGTGCAATCAACTACAAGTTATTTGAGTTATTTTATATTTATAAAATTTATGTGATGGAACAAAACTTGATTTGTAGAAAGGAGTTTAATGTATTATATCAACCTCATGTACAATATTTATTACTTCTTTTCCGTTGATTAAATTAGAATTGTTAGTTAAATATCTTATATTGTTTTATTATTGTTGTTGTGGTGGTGGTTATTATTGCTATTATATTATTATTATTATTATTGTTGTTGTTGTTGTTGTTGTTGTTGTTGTTACTACTACTACTAATTTTATTTTATTTTATTTTTTTAATAACGGTTCCTTAACGGTTCCATGCACATATTTTTTATAGGAACCGGGAACCGAACCGTTATAACTCGTTTCGGTTCGGTTCCTACAAATGAGGCATTAATTGTTAACGGTTCGGTTCCTAAATGTTGTTAACAGTTCGGTTCCAATCGGTTCTACGGTTCCCGGTTCCAAAATCCCACCCCTATAGGAGACCTTAAACATTCTAAAAGAGCATGTGGCTCACAAAAGGACATGGGAGATATTTGGTTTGAAATCAAATATGGGGTGGACCTCCCCCTTTTGTTTTCTCTTGGAGTTTATGTGCATGTGAGCCAAGGGTCCGCCCCATATAGTCTTCTCACCTCTTTTCATTTGTTTTGCAGGTACTAAGTCCATGTGGAATGGTTCCCAATTGATCCCATTCAACTTGGGATCCAAAATATCTACCAATACTTCCAAAAATGAAAAGATGGGTCCTATTGTTTTATCTTTTGTCAAAAGATGTCTTTTTGTACTCATCCTAATTTATTTAGAACAAGTCAACTTCCTTCATCACATTATTGATCTCCAATATGTGTAGGTTTATCACAATAATTTACTTGATGGATATCATAGAAAGAAAATCCTACTCCCATTATTTAGCTCAATAATGCCAAAGATGGGGCTATAGGCATTTGTATTCTTCTTTAATCATTCTATCACTTATTTGACATTTGTCATACATATTTTTGGGCTACTAGCCGTGTGAGTCACTCCCGAGTGGGTCTAGAACGCCATTCTCGAATACTTGCTATTTTTAGCAGGTTGGGCCCAAAATAATGTTTGGGCCGCCCGACCTTCCTCAAATTGTCTTGAAAGATTATGTAACATTATTTAGATAATGTTGGGCTCTTATGTTCATTAATAAGGCCCAAATAAGTATTTGCAAACCCGACACTAATATACGAGTTTGAACAATACAAAAATCAATCATGCGCTACGTAAAACATTAATCGTTTTACAATTGTTTGGAAACCGAAAATTCAATACATAGAAATTAATTTTTTTTTATATTGAGTTTTTCAAGGACGTTCGGGTGCGGTGTCACAGAATGAGATTAAAGTATAAATATACAGAGTCAAACAACAACATCCAATCCTTAATCTCAAAAGATTTTGATGTCGGCTAACATGAATCGAACCATGACATCGATGTCAAAAAGAGAAGACAAACAAGATGAAGAAAAAAAGAGGATGAAACGTAACGAATAAGATAAAGACTAACATAACAATATAAGAAAGATAAATGACAAAAAGATAAAAGAGCATAAAAAAGCTAGAACATAAAAATAACATAAGAACATAAAAAGATAAAGAAGATAAATGATAAAAGGAAAAAAAGAGGAAAGATAGAAAAGAGATCAATTGTCCACACGAATATGCGTCTTTGACCGCAAATGTCACTGCTTCACTTCGTTCATCTCGACCCTTCACCATATTACAATGTCTTTCCTCTTGTATTATAAGGGGGTGTTTGGATCTGATTCTTAAAATTGCTTCACTCCTTGAGGGAACAGAAATAGAAGCTAAAGTGCAGAAGTGATTCTGGTGCTCTAATTTACTCCTAGAATCAGATTTTTTAGAAGTTGGGGAAGACCAGCTTCTGAAAACTGATTCTGATTCTGATTCTCCTTTAAAAAGAGAAGCAAAAGCAGAATCAGTTCCAAACATTTGATATAATCTGGACACTGCCCCATCTTGGTTGTAGGATGTTGGAACTAGCGTTCCAAAAGTGTCATGGTCCAATCCAAGAAAAAACATGCGTTTTTTCTGTTTCAATTTGCTTAAAAAATTGCTTGTCCAGATTGCATGTGCAGCCCCTACACACATTTAGGGATGATGCGAAACCCTTCAAATTCATCACATAAGGATTTCAATCGGCCAAAGTATTGCGTGACACATCTTTGACCATTCTGCCTGCAAGGTTCCGCCACTTCAAATCGACCCTTAATATGGAATTGAAGGTAATCCAATCTTCAATGTCTTCCGTTGATTCAGTAGGTCGGGTAATGCTGCCATCAAGTGTTAGGCAGGATTGGGCTTTATTTATATTATTACTATTTATTGTAATTAGTTAGTATATGGGCTGCGGCCATATGATTAGAATAGGGCTGTTCATTGTTGTATATATATACGGAGTATTGTATCAATTGAAGACAGGGGATTTCATTTGCTCTAATAACCAAAACTTATTATGGTATCAGAGCCGTAGCAAGAGACGATCGCTACATAAGGTCCTGTTCATCGCCAAAGCTCCAATTGCAGCACCAGCGTGCGAACGCATCGGCGGCTATGGGGGACGAAACAGCACCCAGGTTGGATCCAGTTTCACGTGGCCCAGCGGCAGGAGGCAGTCTGCCGGCAGCTGTGACTCGCGGTGAAGGGGGGGCAGTACGCGCACATGCGGTGACCTCTCTGGATTTACCTCATACGACCACGCCGGAGTCTTCCCGTTCTGGCGGCGGCAATTATAACCAGCTTAAAGAATTGACAGGGGAACAGGTTCAGGCATTTTTACACACGATTAATGCAGAAACTCATTCCACTTTTCACATGTCGGGTAAGCATTGTACTCTTGACTGGACAATTGATACCGGGGCTTCCCGACATGTAACGGGTGATTTGAGCCGCCTTACTGATGTTGTCAGCATTCGTGACTGTTCGGTGGGCCTGCCCGATGGGCGCACAGTGTACGCTACTTTGGAAGGCCGTGTGGTTTTATCTAATGACTTGGCTCTTGATCATGTTCTCTATGTTCCCAAATTAAATTGTCATCTTATTTCAATTTCTCAGTTGACTGATCAATCAGCATGCCTTGTTACTTTCACTAATTCTCTGTGTGCTATACAGGACCTACACTCGAGGAGCCTGATTGGAGCTGGTGAGAGACGGGATGGGTTGTTTTACTTCCGACGTGTACCTGCATTGCATGCTGTGCGAGTGACTGGTATTCCGGAATTTGAGTTGTGGCATCGGCGGTTGGGCCATCCATCAGACCGGGTTCTTAAATTATTGCCTGCTATCAGTTCTAGTAGTTTTAAATAATCTTTGAATAAAGCTTGTGTTGTCTGTCCGCAAGCCAAACAAGTGCGTGATTCTTTTCCCGTTAGTGATAATAAAGCAAACCATAGTTTGGATTTAATTCACTGTGATTTGTGGGGTCCTTACAAAACCCCTTCTACTTGTGGTGCTATTTATTTCTTGACGATTGTGGATGACTATTCTAGAGCTGTTTGGGTGTATTTACTACGGGACAAAAAGGAGGTGTACAAATATTTTCTCTCATTTTTTGCTATGGTTGGTACACAATTTGCAGCCACTGTAAAAACCGTCCGTAGCGATAATGGGACTGAGTTTAAATGTCAACTCCCTTATTTTAATGATCATGGTATTTTATTTCAAACTTCTTGTGTGGAGACGCCACAGCAGAATGGACGGGTTGAACGTAAACACAGACATATTTTAAATGTTGCTCGTGCTTTAATGTTCCAGGCTGATGTTCCTATATCTCTTTGGGGGGAGTGCGTTTTGTTTGCAGTCTATTTAATTAACCGCACCCCATCCGGTGTGCTAGGAGGAAAAACTCCATATGAGGCACTCACTGGGCGTGTTCCCGATTTTAGCCATATACGTGTGTTCGGGTGTTTATGCTTTGCCCACAACAAGAAATCTAAGGGTGACAAATTTCTTCCACGGAGTAAACGGTGTGTTTTTGTTGGTTATCCTCATGGCCAGAAAGGGTGGAAAGTCTATGATATGGAGATCGGTGACATATTTGTTTCACGAGATGTCAAGTTCCATGAAGATGATTTCCCTTTCTCGGTTGATGGCACGAAAAATGAGCACGAGGTAAACATTTCCACGGAAATGCATGCCGCTACTCCGGCCATTCTTTATGACGAGGCTGATTTGCATGCACACGAAGACACCACTGCCTCGGCTGTGTATCAGGATGGAGCTTCGGATCACCTGCCTCCACATTCACCTCCAGTAAGTTCTGAAGCTCCTATCACGGCAACCGAACCATTGCTTGGCCGTGGTCAGAGAGCTAAGCGCACGTCGGTACTACTCCGTGATTTTGTGACCCACGTTCGGACACAACACCCATCCCCGTCTTTCTCTGCTTCTTCGGGTAACTCAGGTATGTCCTATCCTATAACGCATTATGTGAATTGTGATAAATTTTCTTCTCGTCATCGGGAGTTTCTTGGAGCTATTCTTGCAGGTCTGAAACCGAGATCTTTTAAAGAAGCCATGACTGATGAAGGATGGCGAAAAGCTATGCAAAGTGAAATACGTGCTCTTGAAGACAATCAGACTTGGATTCTAGAACCTTTACCTGCAGGTAAAAAGGCCCTTGGATGTAAATGGGTATATAAAATTAAGTATCATTCTGATGGTACGGTGGAGCGCCTCAAGGCATGTTTGGTAGTCTTTGGCAATCATCAGGAGGAGGGCATAGATTATACTGAGACATTTGCTCCCGTAGCTAAAATGGTTACGGTTAGGGCATTTTTAGCAGTAGCGGCAGCTAAAAATTAGGAACTTCACCAGATGGACGTACACAATGCGTTCCTTCACGGGGATTTAGACGAGGAAGTCTACATGAAGCTTCCTCCGGGTTTTTATCCTGCTCAGCCCGATGTTGTGTGTCGGTTGAAGAAATCTTTATATGGGCTACGGCAGGCTCCCCGATGTTGGTTTGCCAAATTAGCCGCTTCTTTGCGTCATTATGGTTTTTCTCAGTCATATTCGGATTATTCTTTATTTATTTTCCGACGTGGAGATATATTTTTGAATGTGCTAATTTATGTAGACGATCTGATCATTGCTGGGAATGACTCCGCCGCTTTGACAGCTTTTAAACAATATTTGAGCACGTGCTTTCATATGAAAGACTTGGGCACACTCAAATACTTCTTAGGCATTGAGGTGGCACGCAATTCTAAAGGTATTTTTTTATGTCAACGGAAGTATGCCCTATATATTATTTCCGAGACTGGCATGCTAGGTGCAAAACCTGCTGGGTTTCCCATTGAACAAAATCACACCTTGGCTCTAGCTACCGGACCGCCCTTAGCCGATCCTGAATCCTATCGACGTCTGGTTGGTCGATTGATTTATTTATCTTTCACGCGTCCTGACCTGGCTTATGCAGTGCACATTCTTTCTCAGTTCATGCAAACTCCCCGTCAACCACACTGGGATGCTGCGCTTCGTGTTCTCCGCTACTTGAAGGGTACCCCGGATCAAGGTATTCTTTTGAACTCTTCTTGTGACATGACTTTGTCAGGGTGGTGTGACTCTGACTGGGCTAGTTGTCCTCTCTCCCGTCGTTCTCTTACTGGTTGGGTTGGGTTTCTTGGTAATTCCCCGATCTCTTGGAAAACCAAGAAACAACATACTGTGTCCCGGTCATCGGCCGAGGCAGAGTATCGTTCCATGGCAGCTCTTACCGCTGAATTAAAATGGCTTAAAAGTCTTCTACTCAGTCTCGGCGTAGCGCATTCTCGACCCATCTCCTTGTTCTGTGATAGCAAATCCGCGCTTCATATTGCCCATAATCCTGTGTTTCACGAGCGTACAAAGCACATCGAAGTAGATTGTCATTACATTCGTGACGCAATCCAAGAAGGACTTATTGCTGCGCACCATGTTTCGACTAATGAGCAACTAGCTGATATTTTTACGAAAGCTTTGGGAAAGCGGCAGTTTCTTTATCTCCTTCTCAAGTTGGGCATTTATGATCTGCATGCTCCAACTTGAGGGGGGGGGGTGTTAGGCAGGATTGGGCTTTATTTATATTATTACTATTTATTGTAATTAGTTAGTACTACCTCCGTCCCGTTGGAATGTTCCCGTTCGGTTTACGATGCTTGACTGACGATAAAGGAACTCGATCCCTGTTCACACTCCGCTTATTTTTAGTAAATAAAATTTACATATTCAGAAACTACATTAAAACCGCTACAAAGTCTGATCAAGAAAAGTTCAATTTGATAAAAATTTGATATATAAAGTAAAAGATTAGGAGTGACCTAAGTTGGCCAATGAATAGTGAACTGGAACATTCCAACGGGACGGAGGGAGTATATGGGCTGCGGCCATATGATTAGAATAGGGCTGTTCATTGTTGTATATATATATACGGAGTATTGTATCAATTGAAGACAGGGGATTTCATTTGCTCTAATAACCAAAACTTATTATCAAGAAACCCAAACTTCCGTTTGGCACGAAACGCGTTTTGCACAGCTATAGACTATTCACCATAATTACTTTCTCCTTTCAGAGTGAAGCCACAGACGTTAGCCTGGGAAATCTGAATTAGTTAAGTAGTATGGTGAGGACGGATCATTTATCTTACGTCGTCGTGGTTCGTCAGTTCGTAGTATTCGTCGTCGGTGAAGGATTCCCTCCGGTCGTCATGGCTGTTCGTGTATTTTGCCAAGTGTTCGGTCGGATAGTGCGTCGCAGGTATTACTGCTATGATACCATATTAAAAGAGAATGAATGAGAAAAATATTTTATTGTATCTTAATAGTCTTGAATACAAGGGGTATATGTTGATTTATACAGAGAGCTGAGAGACTCCTACCTAACAACTAATTTGAATAAACAACTATTTAGCCGTTATACATGTGGATGAGACAACCCAATAATTATCTCAAACAAAATACTTCGTACATTCCCAAGGAGATAAATACATCGGCTATACTACAACCGAGAAGTGCGCTGCATGGCCGGATTAAAATATTCCAACACTAAACGTGTAACACATTGGAAACTTTGATCTTGATGAGTCATTAGAACAAATTCCCTGCTGTGTAACTCTGCCTCCCTGATCTTCCCTAACAAATTCCGCCGTCCACATAATGGACGAATTTGCCTTAGAGACTAATGACATGGTCCCGTATTCCCGTTTTATCTCTTCCTGGATTTGCCCATGATCTCCCATTTGCCCATATCTAAAAATCACTGATCGAGAACTAGTAGTCACCTTGTCCTTCACTCCTTCCACACTTTCATTCTACATTTCAAAGGATTTCTAATGACCACTGTTACTTAAATTTGCATACATATCCTCCAAACATGTTACCATCCATTCGTTCAAATCTCTCGATCAACAGTCTCCAATCCCCTCTGCTAGTCATGGAGACATAATTCTCATTGGTAGATTATGAATATGCACTCCAAATTTTGTGAGTTAGTGGAACCTTAAGAGGTAGATCTTATGGCATTAGCCTTCGCACCACCACCAGAATTTTTATAAAAAGTGCAAGTCATGTCTAAAGCAAGCCGCTGGCATCGTACTCGCAATAAAATGGAAGAGGGGTTGTCTAGACCGCTGGCATCGTACCCGCAATTAAAGAAAGCCTTTAATTGTAACTGCCTTACAAACTTACAATGTCGCCAAATCTAGAAACCGATGTGCAACAGAAACAACAAGCATAATAAGATAGTATAATCCACTGCTTTGCAAAAATAGAATCTTTATTATGATTACAAAACATCAAGAACACGTGAGGTCAGACTAGTGCAGCCCCCATGAGTATTACATAGTAGTATAGTACAAATGTAAACTCAAAGACAAAATGAAATTAATAGAACCCCCAGAAGTTCAAGGCACTTATATAGTTTTATATATTATATACGCGCGTTGAGATACAGCCCCTTGGCATGGAAAATCATACACAGGTGGTCCATTTAATCTTGCTTAGGCCAGCAACATATCAAGGCTTGTTGCGAGGAAGTTGAATCCACTGAAATTGGAGTTCTACCTCGCCACATTCCACATTTCTCAATCTGAGGCACATATCTTGTGAGACTGTACCATCTTTCCAGACTACGCACGACTCCTCGGCCAGGCAGTTTGCTCTGCATGGTTGTACTCGTGTGATCACAGTGCCACTGGGGAATCCATCTAAGCGCATCTTCAGTGCCTCCAAAAATGGTTTAATGTCAAATTCTGCATCTCCCATTTTGTCATCCTTGCTGAATGTGTCATGATCGTACACTGTCTGGAAGCATGCAATCAATCAATTACACTATTCATTCACTGCGAGAATAATTCTACATAAGATTAAACAATAAAATATTCCCAGGTAGTTGAATGACTCAAAAAGAGTCTCACCCGACGTTTTTTTGATACACTGGAAAATAAAAGAGTCTCACCCAACTAAGACACAATTTGTTTTTCACCAAGTCAATATTACCGGACAAATAGAACTCAAAAAATACGAAAAAGTAAGAAGAGTGAGACTACACGGTTGGGCAATTTTTCTACTCCACAGACAACTATCTTCAAATGGTGAATTTTTTAAACCCAAACCCACACATAAGAGATACAAATGTTCCAAATGGATCTTTCCATATACCCTAAAAGCCAAATTATACAAGTGAACATACAAACTTTAAGCTCTACTCTCTTTGTACGCTAACTCACTCAATTTTGGGATGCATAGAATGAAGCAAAATGCTTCAACTTAAAGGCAAAAGTGAATGTCTGAATGAGCATTAGAATAAGATAAATTGCTACAGGAAGTACAGAGGACCTTCCCTTTTCTTTCCGTGCAGTTTCCTTTTGGTTTCCTTTCCTTTTCACACCCACAAAATCTTTTCTAATTATGAGCCACACGAGTCATCAATTATCTCAACAACCATAAACATAGACAGCAAAAGAATTTAAGGCATCCTTAAACAAACACGATTCTTTCACATTGTTTGCAACGTTGATAGCAATGTAGTCTAGGAAGAAGCTTTGATTAGCAAGTTAGAGACATTGGTGGGGTGGTAGTTACTATTCTCTACTCAATTCACACGGCATAACCACTTGTCATTACTTTCTCATAATTTACCAAAGTAGTAAAAGTAAGAAAGCTTACCAGCTTAATGGGAAGGTTAGGATCTGAAACAGAAAGTGTAAGATCTTCATTCCATACGGGATTGACATCCTTTTCTATAACACGGGTTTTCACCTTCTGCAAGAATAAATACACAGAAACCTCATTTCACGGAAGTACATGAAATATGTGTTAATGATTTTCATTTGATACACATTTCTTTAATGCATGGTCTCAATAAAAGTGTAAATTTTAGCCCCCCAAAATCTGAAATTAAAAATCCAGCAATGTAAAATTCGAGATCCTTCCCACAGGGAAGAATCTTATACATTAGTATACACACATTGTTTCCAGAAATGGCCACTATACAAAAAAATCATTAAACTGAGCATCATTTCATTCAAATACAAAGAGAAAAAGTAAATACAAAAAGCCTAAATAACCCAATTTTGCTGCGAATTCAAAGAGCGAACCTCGCCCTCCCAAAAGAAGATGATAAAATAACATTTAAATAATCAGAATGCGCAGTTTTAACGACGTTCGCGAAAGGAGAAGAAGAGGACGGTGAACCTGTTTGCCCATCTTGACAACAACGTAAGGATCGCTGGTGCGGACATCGCGGACGGCGAGGTTGACACCTCGTTTGATGCGGACCTTAAGAATGCCTAAGAGGTTGTCCATTACAGACAGTCTTCGTGGTCTGTTGATGCTATTTCTCTCCCTCCCAAGCCCCTCTGAATGTGATCATCCTCTGTGCGACAGAGATTTCAAAATCGTTCTATAGGGTCGACATGTTCGCGGGACCAGGTATTGATAACCGAGTTATTTACTCCGTACTCCATTAATTAAACAATTAATTAAGAGAAAAGAGATAATATAACATGGAACTAGTTGTGAATTTGTGATTCTACAAGTCGGTCTCTCTTAGAAGAGTTGTAAATACTAAATACAAATTAAGGAGCTGACACTAACAGGTAAAAGGGGCTGATTGCTTAATATTTATGGAGTTGAGGGGTGTATCTGCAAATCATCTTGTTCATGGTTTGATTGCAGAATCGCAAATAGTTCAAGAATTTATTTATCCATTTCTCATTAATTAATCAAGGGTGGCTTAGCGCACCCTAATATTATTAATTTAAAGAGTAATTACCCCAAATAAGATTAAATCCAAACATAATTGCACAAATAAGAATAAATCTAAACCTTTCGAAAATGGGATTAAATATTAATTTTCTACTCTCAATACTCCTAATCTAATTAATTAAGTGTTCCTAGTTCCCTAAGGAATCACAAAGTTTTCTCTCTAGGGTTGCCTCTCTCGGCCGCCTCTACTGTAGCGTAGGGTATTCCCGATTTTCGTCTCGGACGAAGAACGGCGCGAGTAAAGCAGGGACGAAGAACGCGGTCGTCGGACGCAGACTACGAGTTTCGTTTCGGAGTAGTTCAAGCAGCGGTCGTCGGTCGCAGCTTGGCTTCAGTGTCGGCAGAATTTTGCTCTGAAACTTTGCTTTTGTTTTCAATTAATGGAAGGGGTGGTGGGTCAATACAAAAGGATGGCTATAGGGGAGGAAAATAGTAATTTGAACTTTGATAACGAGGGAGTCGGAGATCTTGATTCAACCGCAAAGGGAGCTGAATTTTTGGTGGTGGGGGTGGTTCTTACTGATCGGAAAATCAGGGCTCAGGCGGTATAGGTCTGATGAGAGTCATTTTAAAGAAAAATGGGAATCTCATTTTAGGATTAAGGTGAGGTTGGATGTGAGGAAGCCCCTAAAGAAGAAATCTACCCTTACGAGAGGGGGTATTGGACACTCGGTGGATTTTAAATACGAGAAACTACCTAATTTATGTTTCATTTATGAGGTGATTGGGCATTCCGAGAAATTCTGTCCCTTGAATTATGAGGATGATTTAGTATTGGAAAAATCCTTTGGGGTAGAGCTTCGAGCAGGTGGGGGGAAGACTAGCCCCACAAGGGGTAATAAGTGTTTAGTGGAAAAACCGTTAGGTCAAAGGCAACAGAGAAGGACAGATCAAGAGGGTGAGAGTACTGGGGTCAGGGAAGGAGAGAGGATACAACTGGTGCAGAAAACAGTGCCACCAAAGAAGGAGGCAGTGGAAGCGCTGAGGTTGTACCAGTGGACCAGAAACGCAGAAGAATATGGGAGGTACAAGCACAAGAGGACACAGCAGGTGAGGCCCTTACTAAAACAAAAAATGGGGGTGGCAGCGGGTCCAGGCTCATAGACCTGCCCGCCGGTCATGCGAGGGATGCTACTGCTGAAGAAGACTAAATTTGGCTTTTATTTTATTGTTGTTTTGATTTTTAATTTCCACGCAAAGATTGTTGTTTTTGATTTTTATTTACTTTGGTACTGAAAGACTTTTGCATTAGGAGTGGGTGATGAGAGTTCTGCGGTAACCGTCATTGGCTCAATTATGCACAATTTAGGATCGGCGAGTTATATTGCTTTATCAAAGGTGATTAACTCTAAGTCTAGCTCAAGGGCGGATGGTTACTTGTGGTTCTTTTGTTATTTAACCACTATCTGAATGTTTTGATATCAATCTAAGCCCCCTTCTTCCAAAAAAAAGAGTGTTCCTAGTTCCCTTGGGCAATCGGTTCAATCTGTTGATGGCGAGTCAGTCCGGTGGTGGTGGCGGCGACCGGTGGACTTCGAGCAATTGCTCGAAATTTGAGGCAAAAAAAATCTGGATTTTTTTGCCCAACCGGAGCTCCAGCGGCGCAGCAACGCCAAATGGAGAACGGCGGCCGGAACCGGGGCGGCGGCATGCGGAAGCCAAAGTCTGACGACGGCAGGTGGCATGTGGTGGCAGTTGAGGTTTAATACATGCAAGGACATTTTTGTCACAAAAAAACTCATATTTTGGGAATTTTCATAGGGGTAATTTCAGTTCACACCCCATTTTATTGTGTAATTTGGACAATGCACCTTGTTTTCAAAAACTTTGTATTTGCATCCCCAACCCCGTATGGAAAGAGAAAAATGATCATCCATTAATAATTTTGTTGGCCTCCAACATATTTCTGGTCGAGAGGCATTTTTGTCTTTGCATACGGGGTTGGCTACAAATACAAAGTTTTTTAAAAACGGGATACAAAGGTCAAATTGGACAATAAAATGGGGGGCAAACTTAAATTACCTCATTTTCAAACTTTTATTCCTGGCCGTGTTTTACTTCTCTTTAAGTAATTCACTATTATTTTAATTGGTCTTTGTTTCAAATAATTTGTAGTTGATTAAGCCCTTCAAACTAGGAGTAAATTACAGGTGAATGTGGTTTTAGACCGTGTTTGCAAACAATTTAAAAAATGATATTTGATTTTTGGCTTAAAAAGTTGTAATGAGTTTTTCAATTGACTTTTTTTTACTTAATGTCGGAAGTGAGTGGAGAGGTGCTTTAAACTGCTTTTCATTTTTCATATTACACAAAAAAAAACAATTGTTTTACCAAACACTATCAACTTTTACTATTTTCAAAAAAATCAAACACTACCAACTTTTACTATTAAACTTTTTCTCTAAAATCACTTTAAAAAATCATTTTTAAAGTAGAAGAAATCGCAAATACTATTAGCGATGTTTGTATCTACTTCTTAAACTGTTTATGCTCCTTTAGAGAGCATAAGTATTTCTCATTGCTCTAAATTACTCTAAGAAGCGGTTTTTTAAAAGTTGAGGGAGAACAACTTTTGAAAATTGATTCTGATTCTACCCCTACATTCAAAAAGAATAAATTACTCTTCATTCGTTTACCCAGACGAACATTTCGTGTATCATCATCATCATGGAGGGTCTTTTCTAAGACAATTCTTTCAGTACAAAAAAGAAAATTTGGAGAGAAAAAGTTTCTTATTTCTCCATTTCCCTCATTATTTATATGGGGTTTACCCCTTAATATTACAAAATTAAAGCTAATTTTCCAAAATGTGACCACATTTACATTTGGACAAAAATGTGACTAGATAAAGTGACAACCAAAAAGTTCATGTCATTGCCCAATTTTTATGTCACTTTCGGATATCACTGTCGCCATGTCACTATCGACTCCATCGATCATGTCACCGCTGTTAGTCAGAGTCGCCATCACAGCCGGTCACCGCCACCGGCCACAGTGACGCAGTCACAATGAAACCGCGGCAGTGACATTGCTTCCGCCTAGTGACACCCCTGCCTGCACCGCCATACCACGAACATTGCCAAATCGGGCTACTGCCCCTTCCCCATACCCCTGCCCTTGCCACTGTCACAGTGAACCGGCAAAGACAAAAATGCCTCTCGACCAGGAATATGTTGGAGGCAAGGGCACTGTAACGACCGGCGGTGGCCGGGTCGTCAATGTAGGCAATGTTCTTGCAGGAAAATCCTTTTTCGTTATTGAATATCAACATAGTGGCACTGTACGAGTTCCATGAGAAAGTGGACATCTTTGAAGTAGAGCTCTGTGGAAAGGTTTTTGACGGCTTGGTGGAGGCCCTCCATCAGAGGATTGGGCTCTCCACTGATTGAAAATTTTCATCTGCAAATCTCTTATATGTGGATTCATCTAGAGGAGATATGGGCGTTGCGTCGATGAGCTGTGTAGATGTCTTGCTCTCCCTGGGGTTTGTGCGCTGAAAGGAGGACGGAAGAAATGGAAGTCTGGTCACTTTTTGGTCCAAAGAAAGTTCACTTATATTTTTGTCTAATAAAAACTATGAGGTAATATTTTTGTCATTCTTTCTAATTATAAGCAATACATATGCAAGCACAAACATAGATAAAAAGTCAAATTAAAACTCTTCAAATACTCAAAAAAATGTAACTATCAATGCACAAATGTGAATAATAGTGATACCTCACAAATAAGTGAAAGTAGCATACCTACAATGCCTTTATAACAAATCAATGACTTCACGGTGTGTGTACTGATCTCACAAATCAACACAAACGTTTGACTTTAATCACGCAATTTATTTTAACTGTATGCAAACATGCTTATGAAAGGTGCGCCTTATTGGTATACATATTACTTTTATTGGTCCAAAAAATTATTTCTGACATTATTATTATATTTGAGATACACGATTGTTATATTGATCCAAGACAAGGTATGGTACGTTTAGATATAGATGTGCCCACGGCCCACCTAACCCCGCATTCTGAAGCTCACATTCAGCCCAATACAGAATTGATTCAAGTCCAAAACCTAGGGCTTACTTCCACAACCCTCGCCACTATATATTCTTATCCGCTGATCACCATTACGATGGAAACTCGTCTTTCTGCGCCGCCGATGAACGCGGTGGTTTGTTCTCTGACCAAACTTTTGTTTTAATTTGGTTTAACAAAGAAGGCAATATACAGTTAATCGTCATTGGTTCGCTTTGTAGCGTAATCAGCTCTATTTGTTGCCGATAAAGTGTCGTCTTTGCCGGCGCGAGTTTAATATGCTTGCATAGTCGCCTCATTTTATGCGGCCCGTGCACTAATTTGCTCGTACATTATTTTACTCATTTATGCAATGGCCTTTTCTTCCTTCTATTTGTTTATAATAATTTTTAACTTTGCGTTTCCAAATTGTTTCTCTTTGGATTACAAACAATTTTTTTGGACGAAATTTGCCGTTTTATTAAAAGAAAAAGTTTTCCGTAATATTTTTGGAGAAAATTTACTGTTTTTTGGAAAAATACGCCCTTGCACTCAAAATTATATCGGCTGTTTTGGCGTATAACATGAAAGGAATTGGTGAACACTATTTTCTTCAAAATAATTAGAAGGGAAAATGCCCCCCCCCCCCCAGACTTATCACTAAAGGGCATCCAAGC